CTGGGCTGTGGGACACCCCCTGCTTCTCCTGAGCGGCTCTGGACAGCCCTGGGGAGGCATGTGGGTGAAGGGATCCTCTCCCCACGCGTGTTTTGCTGCTTTTGGTGGGGTGGGAGGCAGCGGCCGGCCCAGGCGGAGGATGTCCGGTTGCAGCAGGTACCCGTGGCTGTGAGCCCCCGCGAGGTACCTGTTCCCCCTCCCTGTGCCCGGGGAGACGTTGTCCTTGTTAGGCGAAGGTGCCTTTGCGTGCCGCTGCCCGCAGGAAGCGCAGTTAATAACGCCTCGTGCCAGCGCGCTGGTCCCAGTGGCACGGAGGAGATGAGAGGATGTCCCCGGAACGGGGTCAGGCAGGAACGGAGGCAGTGGAGGAGGCTGGAAATGGAGCGGGGCGCTGGGAGGCAGCGGCTCAGCGCAGGGCACGGCCGAGGCATTGCCGGCTCCGGCCGAGGCATTGCCGGCGCCCCTCGCCCCGGCAACACCCGGCCGCCGCGCAGGCAGCACCGAGGCGGTGTGGGACGTGGGGGACTGGGAGCGGGGACCACCCGGGCAGGGCCAAGCGCTCGCTTGGAAGGGACTTTACTGACTCAGAGGTTGGTTTGGAGAAAATACGAGAGGTTTGGGAGCTGGCTGGGGTACAGAGCGAGCGAGCTCCCTCCTGACAGGTGCCCTGGCCTCCAGCCTGCCGGGCTGAGGGGGAGTCAGTGTTACCCGCTAATAACTAATGCCAATTACACCATAATTAGGGCTGTCATACTGAGCATCGCAGCGGCGGGTTTGGGGACGGGGATGGAGGGAAATCAAAGCTCTGCAAAACACACGTGGTGCGGCTGGGGCGGCCGCAGGGGCAGAGCAGTGAGCGCCTGCGCCCACCGCACTGCCAGGTATTTCTCATTTCTCCCCTCTCTGATGAGAAATCTGGGTTTTGTAGCAACAGTAACTCTGCCCCATGTGTTTTCTCCCCTTGTATTCCCAGTTCCTTTCCCCAGAGCAGTCCACAGTGCAAGTCCTGGCCCCTTACTGGGTTTCCAGCATGCTGCCTCGCTGTAGAGACCCCTGCATCGGGCTCAGCCCAAGCCCCTTTTGCTCTGACCCCGCTGGATAACCAGGTTGTTTTCCTGACCTGTCGGTCTCCGAAGTGGTCGGAGGGGTTTTCCCCCCCCTTCTTCCCTTGTTTCCAAGCAGCCGCTGTTCCAGCAGCCTCCTCTGCCGGGTGCCTGGGGCACCTCTCCCGGGCGGCCTCAGCTCCTCGCAACGAGCTCTTAATGAGTTTGCAATTACTTATTGGCAGAGCCGATGCGCCCAGGGCTGGATGTGCAGCGGAGTGGGATGCAGAGCAGGGGAAAGCATCCCCTTGCAGGGAGCGGCGTCGGGGTGGGAGCGGGTTGGCGGTGCCGGCCTCGGTGCCCAGCGGGATACCGGGCTCTGGATACAGGATGCCAGGCTCCGGATACGGGATGCCATCCTCCTGGGAGCTGCTTCGCGGTGTTGGGGATGGAGCCGGGGAGGTTTGGGGAGAGGAGTGGCAATTGCCGACGGGAGACGAGTGGCTGCCTATAAATACCTGCCAGGGAGCGAGGAAGAGGTGGGTGGATTATCCTCCTCACTCAATGAGATAAATGGTTCTGAAGCTTAAACACAGAACAATTTTAGTCTGAATAGTAGGAGAAACGGTTCAGGATGCGGAGATGACGGCATGAACTGCCTGCGGTGAGCAGCGGGGTCCTGGTGCAGCTTGGCAGCACCTTCGCTGCCCCTTTGCCATTGCCCGGGGTCTTGTGCTGTGGGGGCTTTGACATGCATCGTTCCTCCCTGCTTTTAAAAGCTCCTTCTTCAAGAACACCTGAAAAAACTGAGCTGGGGGACTGTGTGCTGGGAGGGTGGTTTTGGCTTCCTTCGGGTGTGACACTGGCTCCGGGGCTTCGGGGCTGTGCCGTGGAGGCGGGAGAGGAGCTGATGTGCCGGGAAAACAGCGGGGGCGCAGAGGGCAGCCAGGGACGTGGGCCCTCGACGCAGGCCATGCCAGGCTGGCAGCCGCTCTTGCTGTGTTGGCAACGTCCCCCCGCGTCCCCCTGTCCCCCTCATCCCCGTGAGAGTACGGAACCAGCTGGAAACAGGCCCTCACTCCCTCTCCTCACTGCTGCCCTGCTTTGCTGCTTACATCAAACTCAACGTGATTTCAAAAGCATTTCAATTTTTAATGAAAACTTCTCCGTTTACGCTTTTTTGGCCTCGGTGTGTTGGTATTTTGCCCGCCATCGCTGTTTGGTTTTCCCTGGGATTGGCATTGCCTCTGTGCTCCCGTTAGCCTTGACCGAGCAGGCAGGAACGGAGGCACCGCGGCAGGATCCCGGCGGCGTCCCCGGCAGCACGGCCCCGCGCCTGCCCTGCTGACCCACACCGCAGCAGGTTTGCCGGCTCCAAAAAACATGGCCAGTGAAGCAAA